TGGGCTACTTGGAGTTCGTGAAGTTCATTTTTCCTCCCGAGAAGGCCTCACCGCCCGGCTTAATCATGCTTATTCAGGACCGACCCAGTTCTGAACATTTTCACATGTGGCAGCTTTGTCGAGGCAGCTCCGTCAGCCCAGGTTAGCGCGCGCCGCAAGCTGAGCTGCTAGGGGACGATGGGGACCCCAGGGATACTTGGCGATTGAAAGCAGGGATTACAGAACAGGCTGCTTTCAGGGACTGTCGGGGAATCAACCTTAGACATTCCTAGAAGTCAGAAGTGCTTTCTGAGCTCCTCCAACCCAGGCGTCATGGGCGGCTGACAGTATTTTCCGGGACTGAAGGCCACAAAAGGTGAAGAGAATACATTTAGGCCTAGATAAGCGAGTTGATTTCTAGAACGTTGTGGGAACGCATTCGTTGACGGTACATTCTAATATTTGCCGGGCTTCCACCTGTCATTGAGACCCAGGGATGCCTGGCACCAAGACTTAGTCTCATCGCCGAGCTACACAACTTGTCTGGACCCCCGGCAGCCTAAGGGCAAAGGGGCATGCTGGAAACTTTTGAATGTATAGTCCCCCTGAACTAAGTAGATTGAAGAACATGGAAATGCCCAAGATCATAATAAGATCCTCATATACCCCCTATTCCATGGACTTAAGGGGGACTGTAGAGCGAAGCGACGCCTGCCGGAGGCAGGGAATCGCGTGTGATGTTCACACCCTCATTGTAGTTCCTGCCTTGATCTTGCCGGTGCTGCTTTGTAGGTAACTTACTTTGGTATGGGTGGGAGTGCACCATGAGTTGCGTGCACTTGTATAGGACTTGGAATAGCTGTGCCTATTGGTGCATTAGTGCTGAAAAAAGTTGTTGTCATCATTATTGCGATGCTTCTGCCAGAGAAAAGCAGCCCTTGTCAGCATTCCGGCAGTAGAGGGGGCACTCCTTATCCGTTCGGAACGTCTCGACGTTCCCCAACCACAGCTGCGGTCTGCTGTTTGTCCTGACCTTTCCTGGAAGCAATTGTCTTTGCTAATTACATCATTCTTGCAGTAGTTGAGATGCTGTACTATTAAGCTGTGATCCGATTCTGGATCTCCAGTTTCAAAGCGCAAATGCGCAAGCATTAGCTAGCATGGACAATCCTGCTGATTGTTCGAACCGAAAGTTGCACTGCGCCTAGATGCGCTCGCCATCACTTGGAGCATCATGTTGTGAACTGAGCCCCGTGGGCAACCAATATGAGCCGAAGGAACTACTGTTTGCTTTGTAAGCATGGCGAGCGCCAACCCTTAGCTGCCTTAGCTGCAGTTTTTCAAGGGCTCATGCTGGCGCACATGCTGAGGGATGCTTGAGTAGGGCGGGATGCAAAAACTACTTGCCGCTTCTCCTGCTGAGCGCTGAATACCATTGTGATTCTAGTATGTGCGCCCTAGACGTGTGCTCTGCATTGTTTCTGGTGGACTGTAGGGTCCGATCAAGAGATGAGGCAATGGAGGCTTTGGGCCGTGGAAATTGCATGACTAGGCTATAGACTGAAAGTGCGGTTGATTTTCTCAGCCTACCGAGGATTCAAAGCTAGCTAAGGGCTCCTGTAGGGTCCCACTGGTAAGCTAACCTCGTGAAAGGATGCAGGCAGGGACATGGTGTTGACGCCTGCTTCTGGATCCTGTGTTCAGCCATCGCCAGTCGATTTCGCACTCCATTGCCGCACAATCTACAAGTTGAACTCCGACTGATGCTTAGTCATGGGGCGCCTGGATGCGCAGAGTAAGCAGAAGTAGTATTTGTAGTTCCTGCCAGAAATTCTGGGTATAGAGGGAGGTTCATCTGGATTGCGGCGCCAGTGGACACCTTAACCTTGGTCAGAAGTCCATCTTGGCCACAAGCCTCGGTTCAGAGTTGAGAGCAAGAATTCCATGCTGGTGCCAGAGTTGGGCCCGGAAAGGGGCATTTTCCTGTTAGAAGTTTGGCTCCGCAGGAGTTTGAGCAAGATCTCCTGATGCACAGGCTTGCCACTGCCATTTCGGGCTGGCCGATGGAATTGCCCACTGTGACCAGGGAGTGCCAAACCTTGCCTTTGTGATGAAGTCGAAGATGTAGGGGTTTCCCAAAATTAGGGGTACCTTTTTGGGCGTCTCCATAAAAAGGACCGTAGTATTTTGGGGTCTATATTGGGGTCCCCTTATTTTGGGAAACTACCATGTAACACTGTGATCCTACACATCCTAGCAGAGCTTTCGACAGCATGACTTACACGGCCTGGTCCGGTCGGGAAATAAACGCGGCCTCTTGGCCAGGGAACTTTCTGCGTGCCCGCATGCATGCGCAAAAGCTCTTCCTTCTCATCGCTGTGGGACATGCTGGAATATGCGTGCGTAGGCAATGCCTTGTCTTGAAAGCATCTGTGGCCTTTCGCTGTAGCCTCCCATGAACTTCCGGCCAAAATTACCAGGTGGGCATGGAGGCTCCGGTGGCCTGGAGGCATCTGGGATCGCATTCCAAATCCTCGGCGTTTCTTAGGTTCTTCTAGGCACTTCTAGGCCTTTAAGTATAGACGCCTTGAATTGCATAGGCTGAAAGCAGCTTGTGCTGGTATGAGGCATTTGGCGAGTCCATTCGAGCTTCTTGGCTTGAACTAGGAGTTCCTCAAAAGATCCCCCGTTTTCGTCTGTGATCCTCATATTCCCTTCTTTTGTAAAACTCTACAAATGTTCCTAAGGACCAGGCTTCGCAGCTCCTTGGCACTTCCACTGACTGCCCTGCGCAGAGGTGCCGCTCGGGTTCATGGTTTGAAGCGGGCATTGAAGCCACGCCAAAGTTTTTCAGACAGTGACAGCTGGTAGTTTTCCAAAATAGGGGACCCCAATGCAAACCTCAAAATAGTATAATCCTTATCAAGGGCCCTTCCCAAAAAGGTCTCCCTTATGTTGAGACATCCCCATTGTTGTCAGAGTCAGACATCGACCTTTCATTTTGTTTGCACGGTCAGACTTCTGCCTTGGTGTAGTTCTGCAGTCTGACTTATGGCAACCTTCCCGCGCTCCAGCTAGTTGCCAAGTAAGTTCTCAGGCAACCAGGAGTTCCCAGTAACCCTGGGCCCTGGTCTGTTCTGCTTTCTGGCCTGTCCAGTGCTGTTCGCAGAGTTGGACGAGGAACCGCCGTGAGCTCCTAGTATATTCTGCGTTCTGCTCTCCGCCGCGGTGTCACGCAATTGTAGGCTAGAGGATTTGTTGTGAGCCCTGGGCGTAGTCTATTCTGCACAACGGGGCCGGGCAGGAGAACAAACTAGGCCCAGGCGTTACTGGGAACCCTAGGCCCTAGTCTGTTCTGCGCTGTAGGCTCAGGGCCCAGGAATACTGGGGAACGAAGCATTCAGGCTGGAAATTGCCGGAACAAATAGGCAGGACTTGCTTAGCAGGCCGCTTTTTGCAAAGGTATCGTGGACTGAAAGCATCATTTTTCTCTGCGCTTGTGCATCGTCTCAATCTTGGATTAAGTTTGAGAGCCTTGGTTCAGGGTTTAGTATTAGGGTTTAAGGTTAGAGTGATCCCACGACCTCTGTGAGCACTTTGTCCAGGCGCGGACGGGTCACAGGGGATCACAAGCGACGTCCGGCCTGTTTGTAAAGTCTTGTTTCACCGCACATCTGCTTGTGGAAGAGTTGTAGTAGCCAGTCAGTGCTGTGGATGTGCCAAACTCATGACAGAGGTATTTGTCCCAATCGGAGAGAGCATGCTGCTGCAGCAGGCAAGTGATTCCAAGATAGCAATCGCAGCTGTATCACTCAAGTATTTCGTCTGCATCTGGACGAAATCACCATGCGTCTCTGGCCATCTCTTCCACATCTCACAGCATGCCAACATCAACAGCTGCAAGTTTCCTTCAGCCAGCAGCACCGACCACGTCCCAACAGCAAGCATGAATAATGGAGACTATGTCTGCCAAAAGCAAGCAGCTAAACAATTTGAGATGTTCCGCTCATCAGTTATAGTCCCCCTTCAGTAGATAGAATATGGTTTTGGGAATATTAGAAGTATTCTATCTACTTAGGGGGGACTGTAGACTTCTGCCAGCACTGCACTTCTCGGCCGACCGGCAAACCGGCAAACCACTGCCATTGGGCCATGGATGAGTGCCCGAGATGAGATTAGGGATAATGGAAATAACATGGAAACTACTATAGTATATTGGGGATGTAGATAGAGATACTGGAAAAGAGCATGGAAACTACTTTAGGATAATAATCGGTTGTATCACATTGTCAGCATCATTTTCATCATCTCGTGGTGCAGTTGTTTCTGCTCGCCATTTCTTGCGACTTAAGAGCCCTTGGTCTAGCAAACAAAATGCAGTCAATTGAGTCACATCCTGGGTTGATGGCCCTCCAGCCGTTTTTCTTGACTGCAGGAATGGCTCAGTTGAGCGCCTGCAGGAGATCGTGCGGGCGGTGAAGGCAGAATCGGGATGCTTCCATCTCCACATGAACGGGCTAGATTGAGGGTCTGGCTGTGCGGCACCTTATTTAACGTAGAGGGCACGCTGAATTGGCATCGGGAGCCTCCCAGGCAAAAGGATGTGCCTACGTTTGTTTAATGCTGACTGCGCACACTTTCAGAGGGCAAGGGAACCAGGGAGTACAGTTTAGGTGACGCGCGACAGGGCAGATGTTGATTAGCTTGCAGGTGATGCAAGGCGTCAGGTTGACTGAGAGAACCGCTTCCATGATCAGCCTCTGATAGTCAAGGTGTGTTACATACGTTTTGCTCCACCATTGGGTTTGAGAAATAGGCATTTATTGAACAAGTGCTTGCAACTGCAGTCCTTGTCATCCATAACTATATGTGGCAGATGCGCTCAATACTCCAGCCCTTCTTCAGCGCTCCTGCCACTGCCAGGCGAAGGCACCGCTGGTCCAATGCTTGACAAACTATGCACCTTGCCGAAACATTTGGATGTACGATGCCCACTGGGCCGTCCTGTGGCTGAGGTTAGCATGGACTTCATGGCCAACGGGCTCCTGGCTCTTGGGGCTTCACCAGCCATGGTCCATGCGGTGGAGGAGCTCGAGCAGGCTTGAATGATTCAGAAGTGGATTCCCCAAAAAGCAGTCGCATGGCTCACGAACATGAAAAGGACGAGGGGCATCAGTGAACCCGCCTGTCAGGCAATCTCTGTAGTTGCAGATCTGCACGGGGCAGTCTCTATCAACATAGGGACGCTGGATCCGAAGTGGATACTTGGCTGCATGAGAAGACCAACAGGGTAGCCGTGGATGGAGAGCGGAACGCGGGTAGGAACCACCAGCTGCATTGAACAGCGTGTGAATCAAGACCACGACTTGTCAGCCCTCTTTGACATTGCTCAGGATAGAGTCCTTCAAGTTTGCGGCAAGGCCACTACAGTGTTCATCAGTGTTCCATGATTTCGTATCATATGAGAGCTGTCTGTACTGGTCAGATGGAGCGTATTGTCAGGGTAGTGTGGGCATGCTGCCTACCATAAGAATCGAGAATTTCTGAAAACGAGGCGTTGCTGTAGATTTTCGTGTGTGTGAAATCATAGGCGGAGCATTCGTGCTTGATGGTCCGCAAGGACGACAAATGGCAATTGAATGCCGAGATGGGCTTTAACATGGGAGTTTTTCTGCCATACAGTCCTTCGTTGGGACCTGTTAGACTCTCCACCCATTTGAGGAATTCCCCACATGCCTCTCCAGGACGTGCAAAGCAAAGGGCGTCCCCTGGGTGTTGGATCCCGTGGCAGCCGGATTCACCTCACTCAGGCCGCTTGTTGGAGAAATTAGTTGATATGGTTGACAGGCAGTGTTTTTTCATGATGAAATGGCCTTGGAGACCACTCGTTCCTGTAGTCTCTAGCCCCAAAATTCACTGATCCAATCGCATAATTCGTGATACTGGGTGCAGTCCGCCGCGCTGCAGGACGACGACGGCGACGGAGCTCTTAGACATTGGAGGGTGCCTGCCGACCGTGTATCCATGCATGCTTCATTAAGGGCTAACTGGCCAGGAATGAGAAGTACTTTGGAGTAGGATGCTGCTGCGTTCAAGGAGACCCATGTGTGGTGTTTAAATGAGATGGGCGCTACTTGCCTGCTTGCCTGTTCTTCCCGTAGAGAGGCCGGCAGACATATGCCGTAGCGACTGCTGTTGTGGCATGCAAATGCTGGCGGAGGCTCATCCACAACAGGGATGGCCTTCTCCACAGCTTTTGGTGCACGTTGCATGTTCATTCTCTTCTGGATGGACATTCCAGCATGCTAAGATTTTGCTGATCAGAATGCCCAAGACCTTAGGGGGGGAATCTCTGCCAGCACAGATGAGCGCAAGTACATCTTCAAGAGGTCACCTGTGTGGTCAATGCGGCATTTGGCCAACGCGTGCGTCCCTGTCTTAGGGACATTTTTTGAGAAAAGTCTCTAGGCCTTCATCTTGAGATATATTATGATATATTGAGGTGAGTGTCATCCCAGCGATTTCGGACCATGGTACAGCGTGTTGGTCCGTTGATCGCAGCGAAGCTTGTGACACATGATGCCCTCCCACCGATCTTTTTTGCCGGATAGCGTGGTCCCTCGGTACCCTGACGGCTTAAAGTCCGAACCTGTGACTGCCCCAGCTGAAGCTTATTTGCTTATTTGACGTCGGGAAGGTGCTCGGTGCTCCGTGGCAACGCTTCTGAGATCATGGCTGTGGCCGGCACGACAGGGGACGCAAAGGGCGTGGACTCAACTAAAGGCCTCGGCTGGAAGGATTCGCTTTGCATTTTGACACGTGTCCGGAACTTGAGGCTAGCTTCTGCCCCTGCTTTCAACTGTCAAAAGCAGGCTCAGATGCCGCTCTGAAAGCTGCCAAAGGTTTGGCGGCCAAGTACAAATGTGCCGCTCAGACTGATGAGTGAGGATGATCGGTGAACAAACGTTGTGCTTGTCGCGGACCAAACCTGCAGCTTAGGTCGTGTGCATTTCCGGCGCACTGGACTTCGTCGCAGCTCAGACCGCAAGGAGCCTTTGGGGCGCTGTTCTGTGAGCTAGAGTCTGAACTTCTTAAAGGGTCTATTTAGGGGTTTATACGGGTCTGGTAGTGTAGCACTTGTAAGGGGGACACTAGGACACTAGGAGTTTAGACTATAGCTCATCTTACAGGTTTGTTTGGGGTTGTGTAGAGTTGTAGGGTTCTTTAGGGGTATATAAAGCAAGTGACCCTGTGAAGTGAATGCTAAGGTTACTCCCAGTGGGCAGGTCTCGAGCTGTGCTCATGGAGTTGAGACACTGGGACCTGGTGAGTTGAGGGCTATATCTTCTCGGCACAGGTGCTGTAATATAGTGTCATATAGTATCATACAGCAGTTTATAGTATAGTATAGTAGAATATAAGATCATGCAGTAGGATAATAGAATATCATATGTTATAGCATTATACATGTTGTATGCCCTTTTTTGCTCACTTCTTTCCCTTCTTGGCAGAACCTACTGCACTCCGCAAGCAGCTCACTTCTAGGGGGTATTTGTGGAACACCTGCGGCACATGTGCTCATGCTGGGTTGTCTGGAGATTCCAGCGAGGACTCATTTCCTCAATTTTTTTAAATCTCCCTTGGAGGTCGCAGGCATGTCATCTAAACTGTGGTAGATGCGCCGTGCAGAAGAAACACAGACATGTGGAAGAGTGATGTAAGGATGCTCACGAAAATCACAGCGGCTGGATGCCTCGTGCCTTGGCCGCCAGGGCTCGTGAAATGGAGGAGGGCTGGACAAATGCCTTTGAAGTTTCTTGAATAATTGGAAAGCTCGCATTCTGGAACCTGAATTAACCTGAGGTCTCCTCGATCATAGCTGCCTTCTTGGCGGCCAAGCCTAGGGCTTCCTGCCGGCAAGAAAAAGACAGAAAAGACACTTGAAGACATTGAAAAGTAGGCTGATGTAGGCTGCCTTCCTTGCAAGATGCCGACCAAGGATTTCTCTGATGCTGAGGCAGCTCTTTATGCGCTCCTCAGTTGCACTTGACAAACTTGTTCCGGGTCCGATGACGGCAGACATGACCAACATTACATCGCTTTGGATGGATTTTTTCATGCTAGTCAGAAGCGTTACCCTGAGAGCAGAAAATCCAATGGACAAGAGTGGACAGTTGGATAGACAGACAATGGGGTGATGTAGGGTGTTGCGTCCGCTCTCTGTGCCTTTGATGAGTTTTTTTGGCAGGTTCATCTACTTCGGGATTTGCTCCGAGGTGTCTCAGCAGCATCCATGAACCTGCCTGGCCTTGTACTTGCGTACGGCTGCTATAGGGCGACCCCAATGCAAGCCCACATGATCCCCAATACAAACCCAACTCTCTTTCTGAATCGCACTGTACGTCGACATGACCCCTTCAAAGGTTTGCTACTGCGATCTTTGCTTGATCAAAGACAGATTTTGATGTATGGCCCCTCTTTAACCATACCTTCCATTTCATTTAGCTCCTAAACCCTACACCTTAATTCCGAGGCCCTAAACCTACACCCTTAACCCAAAATCCCACACTTCACCCAAAATCCTTAAAGAGTCTGTCTGTCCTGAGGCTGCGAGTCAAAACAGCCAGGGACCGGGCTCGCTACGGCTGAATCTGTCCCTGGGCTTCAGGTTCTCATAAGAAGGGATAGGTTGGAACTCGGTCAAAAGCGAGTTAGAACCTAGCGTTATACTAATAGCCCCAGGAGACAACGCACTACATTCCATAGAGTCATGTGAGAACGGATATGTTGGTCGTTGTCGCGTCTCTCGACCCGTTCTGCACCGGTTCCAGCTGGGCTCCGACGTCCTTCTTGGGAAAAAAGGTTTCGAGCGTATTTCAAGCGGGTTCAACAGGTTTCCGGCCATGTTCCGACTCTGATCCGACAGGGTTCCGACTGGCTTCCAAGCAGCTTCCACTCGGGTTGTGACCTTGTAACCGGGTTCCAGCAAGGTTCTAGCCGGTTCCGACCTGAGTCCAACCAGGTTTTTTGAGTGGTATCCGGATTTTGATGAGGGCCTGACCAGGCTCCAACCAACCAGGCCCCGAAGCGTGCACGGAAAAAGCTCGCACGGACATCCATCCCACGTTTTGGCGTTATCTTGCCAAGTTCCCCTGCGGACGTAGTTTGCATATCTTGCGCTCCAGCTGGTCACCTTGAAGCCTCCCAAAGCCCAACGGTTCAAGCATTATACATTCCAGAAACTGTAAGGTTTGAAGGGTTTAGTTTTGGGCTTACCGTGTCTCTAAACAGGGGTACCCACAGAGTTCAGTCCTAGGGGATGATTAGGGCACCTTTGTGTAAGGATTATGTTCTGAAAACTCCGGGCTGCAGAGTAAGGTCCAAGACGCCCATAAGGGACTGTTGTAGAAGCTACTGCTTACTGAATGGCGCGAAACAGCTGTCCAGGATCGATCAGCTGTACAATTTTGACCTCGAGCAATTGGGCGATGATGACTGAGTCTCCACATCTTCCGCAGGGAGAGGGGGTCGACCAGTGCTTCTCCCAAGGGAGATCAAGAAGCTGGTAAAGTCACATCCTTCCTGTATTTCCCCCTTCACTTCGAAGGAGGCCCAGATCCCTCCCTACAGTGTTTATGTTGAAAAACTGAAGCTACTACCTCCGGTTGTTTGGTCCCCTTGCCTTGCCAGGAGCCGTAGGCATGTCCAACGAGGATGAGTTTAGTCCTTCGCACAAAGCACTGCCTGAGGATCGGCCACTTAAGCTTTGTCGGTGCACATACTTTCAACAAGATAAAGGTTTCTTGAAGTTTCAATGGCTGGATTGGCATATTCCCAGAGTGAAATTCACATGGAATGCATTTGGCAATCACACTTACATCTTTCTACGCAACTGTGACGTCAAGCTAAAGGCATCATGCGATCTTGGGTTGTGCCTGCTGACCTGTGTCCTGATTTAAGTCCAGTGCTTGAAAGGGCCCTCGTATGTCAGCTGCTACGCCTAAGGCCCACCCTGCGCTAACCTAACATGGAACCCTCCAAAAAGTACCATAAAGACTGCTGTCCTACAAAAGGGGACTTAAAAGGTTCAACGTCATTTTGGGTAAGGGGTGACGGTTGGACTGCCCTGCCAGGGCCCGTTCAGCAACAATGTCTGGCCACAGGATTCTGGCGCTCAGCACCGAATTTGTAGAAGCCAAACAAACCTTGGGCTGATGCGACACTGGGCTCTGTGACTTCAACAACTTCAGAATAGGAGGCTCAAAAGCCTTCATTAGCAGAGCTTGGGCCCAGGCAGATCCATCAAGCCCTCTGGAAAGTGCTGGGCGTAAGTTAGGTTTGGGTCGAGCAGCGCAAGAGTGCGTGTGCCCCTTGCATCGTACACAACCCGAAGTCACAGAAGAGCTCTCCAGGTGACAGCAGAAGGATTTGAGGGTTCTGGCTGAAGCTTAATTTGAGCATTAAGTGAACCTGGTTACCTGGAGAGGCTTTGAACAGGAGTTCGGGAGAGAGTTTTGGATGTTGGTGGCATGCCCAATGCTGCTGCAGGCAAATCTCATCTTATGGGCTTCTTGCATCCGAAATGAGGGACATCATGGTTTAGGTTTTAAGGGTTTAGGGGTTTAGGGTTCGGGGTTTAGGGTGCCAGCTTGGATTCACATTGCTTGATGCTGCTTGGAGAGAGGCTTTGGGCTCATGCCCATTTGCAGAGGCGTCGGCTGTCCTTGACCCCGTGCATGAGCAAGAACAAAGGACACCCTTTGGCTTGCCGCGGGTTGTTAGGAGAGAATAAGCGAATGTATGATATAGGGATCAGATAGGGATTCTATTCCCCGATTCGCTGCTAACGCCCAATAAAGTTCGGTTCATGCCAGCACATTGGACTGGCAGAGAATGCCCATCCACTCTGAAAGCCCAAGCTCGAAGCTTGAAGCCGGCACGACAGCAATCCCGTAGAGAGTGTCATCCAGACTTCCCTTGAAAACCCTGAAAGACATGGTCGTTTCCTGAAGAAGCCGTTCGCAAACCATTTCACAGTCTACGGTCCGAGTTCTTATGCTCGCAGTACGCTGAGTGCCTGTGTCGAAAAACGAAGCTAACTCCATGGACAAATATACATAACCCTACCATAAATCAAAGACCCTTAAAGGATGCAGCTTGCTCAGCAGATGTGCTGGGTCATGCTTCAGCTGTGCTCATGGCAGGTTCCAGTTCTCGCTACACTTTGAGCCCCGAAGCGAACATGGAGGTCTTTGCCAGACAGGCCTTTTGGAATCGAGGTGTACGGTTTAGGGGGCTTAGGGTTTCGGGTATCAGTGACTGATTCAGGCGTTCTCGTAGCATCTGCCCGCAGCGCAGATGGCAGGCCTGGCACTTACGCTAGAATTGAAAGGCATTGTCAGGAAGCAGTGGGATGCGGGGGATCCCCAGAATACAGATCATAATAGCTTGAGGTATATAAGGCAGAACCCCCATGGTTGGAACACAAAAGAAAGATCAAAATGCCTCTAGATTCTGCTAGTCTGCTGTTTGTGTGTGCTGGCTGGAGGACACTACCTTTAGTTTGCCGATGGCTGAGACGCATCGGTGTGGGTCCTGGAGAGCGGGGAGTGTCTGTGTTTGTTCTGTGTAGCTTGTCCAGCGCAACCTGATCTCAATCCCAGATCCCGCTCGCACTTTTCTGGATCGGTCAAACTGTCTGAGTAATCTGCGCGCCGCTGATTTCCAATTCTGGCTTGGAAGAGTGAAATTTAACACTCAGCTGAGCATATCGATGTGTCTGCGAGTGTGAAGCTTCTTTCGTTAGTAGCAAGGAGGCATGTCTTAAGAGGTGCTGCGTCACGTTAGGGCTTGACTGGGAGGCTCACACACGGTAGAGATTCCGGGCATTTCTTCCTCAATGCTGGCACCTCAGCCTCCTCGCAGCTGCAGCTGTGCTGGCGAATGCAGCCGCTGCCAAGTCTGTGGTGCTACAAGGTCAAGATTTTGATGGAGCGTGTTGCGCCGCAAGTTCTGTATTTTGAAGTTTTAGAGCCCGTGCAAGGTACCACGCATCTGCCGATGATGTGGGCACGGAGCTCAAGATCTCCGACATCTGAAGCATTGATGAGCTATGCTGAACACTGAAGCTTCAGGCTTCCCTTGTAACGCTGAGGCATGCAGATCATCTGCCTCGCAGAGGTAGAGCAGCATCGGAGTGCTATGGGCATAGCAGGAAGCTCAAGACACACATCCTGATCCCGTCTTCCTACCATTCTGCCATCTTAGCTAGGCCCAGTCCTGCATCGGCCCCTTCGAGCTGGACCCTATCACCCGGATGAGCCTGGAGTGCACCGGGTGCAGGGAAGACGGGGAAAGTTGAGAGGACCATACTCTAGTCACATTTATTCGCTGTGAAGACTATTCGGCTTAGGACTTCAGAGGCATGTGGAAGTTTCCATTCTTAATGTACGCCTCAGGGGTGCCCCCACCATATCTCCAGAATCCTGATATTCCCGAGGCCGCTGGCACATGCAAAGATGCAGAGAGTGGCATGCCAGTATGTTTGCCAGTTAGTCCTGCTGCAGGCAAGCCTTGAAAAAACGTATGTCCTGCTCCTTCAGCATGTAGCCTTCACGGAATTCCGTCGTCTCACTAGGAGAACATCGTTTCTTCGGGGGCGAGCCGCTTTCCGGCAGAGATCCAAGTTTTGCGCTGACAAATTCGAGGACAACAGTTTACCATGTTGCTTCAGAATCATGCCATACTTAGTAGACGGTCTCTGGAATGAACCTTCTTAACTTAGGTCCGACATTTCAGGGATCAAAATGATCCGCATCCGCCAGGGCCTTGTGTTGTTGAGACTGCCCGGGTGAGCATGTTGAAAGCAGCCACTTGCATGCATTGATTATACAGGGTGTCTCAATGGCAGCACCAATTTGGAGATCGGGGTCGAGCTGATCAGGGCATGCAGGGTAACTGGTGTGTGTTTGGGGTTTCCGACACAGGGACGGGAGAATCGGGAGGCTGTAGCAGCGCCGCCATGGTTTCAGTTCCCGAGCAGCTTCCTCGATTGGAGCGCGTGGATGGCGAAGTCCACATTTGGGTTGACAGCAGTGAAGGCGAGGGGGCACTTGATTCTGTTGCAGAAGAGGCGTTCTCTTCTCATGCCTCGCAGCTTCTTGTTGCAGTGGATGTGGAGTGGCACGATCCGCGACCTGTGTCTTTGGTGCAGCTTGCAGTCTCCACGGATCTGCAGAAGCCTCCGACAGTTTTCTTGGTAGACATGGTACACAGCCCAAGAGACGAGACAATCGGCTGGTGCCGACGGCTTCTGTCTCCAGAGTCGCATCAAGTTTTAGCTTTCAGCTGTCGCGAGGACAAGCGGCGATTGCAGCAAGCTGGGCTGCTGAGCAGTTCCCAAGAGCTTGACTGGCTGGATCTACAGCATCGCTTTGACCGGAAAAAAGGGTCTACGCCAAGTTTGCAGTCAGTTGTGGCCAGCGCTCTGGGCTTATGGATGGACAAGCGCTTACAGACATCAGACTGGGATGCACGGCCTTTGACTGAGGATCAAAGGGAGTATGCAGCACTTGATGCTAGCGTTCTTCTACGCCTGTACGGCTGCAAGCCTGCAGCACTGACGTCTTTTAAGCCGACAAAGGCACCAGTGCAAGTACAGCCCGATCTGTCGGAAGAAGCTCTGAAGGAGCACTGGAACCAATACCGTGCTCAACCTTTTCGGAAGCGCACGCGAGTCTTCCACGGAGGCGCCCGAGAGAGAAATGACGATCTCAGCTTCCTCTTGCCATCCACGCTCACTCGCCTCATGAGAAAAATGCGTGGTCTTGGCCTCGACACTGAGATCATGAGAGAAGGGACAAGTCAGCAAGCTCTGGTTGAGGCTGCGGAGAAGGACGACAAAATCATCTTGTTTTACAAAGCCAAGAAATTGCTACCTGGTCGTGTTGCGCACAGAACGTATATTCTGCAAAGCTCGGTGCCAGATGATCAAACACGAGAAGTCATTGATGCTTTTGATGTGGTCGTGGACTCTGATTGCTTGTGTGGGCGATGCGTGCAGTGCAATGCTTGGGACTGGCACCTTGTGGGACGCGATGCCGTGCGAGGTAATCCTCAAGTCGCCCCAAAGACGCTTGACAACTTTGAAGAGTTTTGGATATGTGGAGGCTGCAATAAGATATACTGGGAAGGAAAGATGCACGAGAAAGCTCTGGGACATTTCCGCAGCTTCATGCCAGAGGGTGCCTGAAGAGTGCACTCCTCAGAGTAATGGAGCGGCGACTTGCCGACGCTCACACGATCTGGGTGTCACCCGCAGTGCCACCACCAGGAACAACAGAAGAAGGAATGACCTGAGTGAGTACATCATAGAGCCCAGTGGCCCGTGGTGCAGACTTCACAAGCGCCACCGCGCCACCCTCCTGAAAGTCGGCGCGTACTGCCTCAGCAGCCCGAGAACTCGCGTAAGCTATCCACGAGAAACATGGGCTTTCCACAGGATTCACGGAGCATCACGTAACCGTGTAGGGAGTCGCCGTAGGTGATGTAGTTAGTTAACTTGAGCAGATCAACAGCTCTTGCCGGTCACACCCTTTTCGCGACTTGAGGCGTGATCTGCAGATCCATGTAACCCAGGACGGGCCCGGGGAAGCACCTTCAGCTGGCGAGAGTTTGTAGGTCACTGAAGCTTCACTTCAGTCACCAATTAGGGCTGCTGCCTGGTATGAAGACACTTTCTGGGAAATGTAATCAAGGTAGCCCAAGCAGGACTCCAAAGCATGGGAGAGTTCCTGCAATTCTGAGGGACCTTTCACAGAGTGGTGAGCGTTGAAGATGCAGGACCATGTGAAAGTTGTGCATCCCGGAGCAGAACGGGGAAGCAATGAGGCCGGAGCCTCAGATAGTATCCCAACTACTTGAACAACTACGGTGGCACTGTTCCTGCAGGTCTTGGCACCGTACTCGGCCGATTTCCCCAAGGCTTGTAGCACGCTGAAGGGCACTGCTTCTCTTGCAGATCCAGATCTTGAAAGGTCATCATCCACCCGACAGACACCTGCAAGTTCAGGCTAGAGCTCAGCGAAGAGCAGGCCGACGGCAGTCTGCGGCTGTCTCTGGTGTACAAAGAATGGAACCCTTTGAGTTTGGAAGTCCAAAATTCCGGGAGACAGCTCGTTCAGTTTTCGATTTTTTGGATCCAAAGTCCAAGCACTTAGTTCATTCAGTTTTGATGTCTGGGATTTGGAATTCCAGAACCCCAGGAATTCATATGTTCCGTTTCGGTATTCCTGGACATTTTGAGAACTAAAATTCTAGGACTTAGTTCTCACCGTTTTGGAATTGGGGAATGTTGAGAACGGAAATTTGTCAGCTTATTGTCCATTTTCTGCATTTTCCCATTGCAAATGACTGTGCTTGACATCGCCGAAAAGGTGGGTTCATGGGGGGTACCACATATGTTTACGCATATATTTAGGAGTTTAGGGTTCGCGGGTCGGAACAAATCAATGTGGCCAGACCCGTGTGCAGGACAAAGTCTTCCACTTTGTGGCCTTGTCCAGGCCAGGTCTGAGATGCCTCACAGCTGACTCTGAGCCTGACACGTTTTTCTTCCAAAAGTGATGCTCCGTTCCGGGCAGCTGCTACTTACTCATGCCTAAGTTGGGGATCGATAAATATACGTATGCCTAAAAAGTTTCCGCAACCAGCAGCAGGACGTCTCGAGATCTGATCGCTCTGCTCATCCGCACATTCCATGCCAGGCTCCTGCTCGCGAGAAGTCCAGAAACAGAATGCGAACAAGAACCCCACCCTGGCCAACCGGTCGTTTGCTCCCCTGTCGCCCAGGCCCGACAATACGTTGCGACATCCTTTGTGCTCAGCAGGCTCAGATGGGCTAGAAGGAAGGTTGCAGATTTTAAAAAGCGTTGCCAAGGAGGCCTGTGTGAATGACACCTGCCTCAAACAAGTGCTGCTACATTCAAGGATTCCATGCCGCGCTGTAGCGTCGTCGGTGCAAGATTACTCAACAGAAAGCCAGGACACAGACTAAAACCTCGACCCTAGACCCTGAATAGTCTGACGTGCCATGACAGCTTTTTTGGGCAGGCTGTACCAGGATCCAGCGCGGCCTGGGGTGCCTTGACCAAGAGAATTTTTATGGTAGATTCCCTGAATAGGGGGACCCCAATATATACCCCAATATACCGTAGGATTCAGGACTTACTATAGGGACCTTCAAGTTGGTACCCCTGATTTTGGGAAACCCCCATATCTTGGAGTGCTGAGTCCGTTGGCCACCCGGTTGCAATGCCTTGATGAGCTGAGGCTCCGTTGACGACAACGCTGGTGCAGGATTTAATACTATCATCACTATTACTACTATGATTCTGAGTACTCTTACTATTGCTATTATTTGTATTGCTACTGCTACTGCTGCTACTGCTGCTACTGCTGCTACTGCTACTGCTACTGCTACTGCTACTGCTACTGCTACTGCTACTGCTACTGCGACTGCTACTGCTACTGCTACTGCGACGACGACGACGACGACTACTACTACTACTACTACCTACTACTACTACCTACTACTACTACTACTACCACTACCACTACCACTACCACTACCACTACTACTACTACTACTACTACTCCTACTACTTCTGGCCGCCCCCCCCTACCAACTATGTTTGCTTAA